GGAGCCGCTCCCGCCCGGCACTGCCAGTGCTCGGGGGTCGCTCGGCCCCTCACCTGGCGATGTCAGCGTAGCCGTCGCTGCAGGCCATGTGCAGTGGTGTCCACCCGTTCTCGTCCCTCTGGTGGATGTCGGCGCCGTGTTTCACCAGCAGCTTGACGCAGTCCAGGTTTCCGGTCAGCACAGCCTCGTGCAGGGCTGCCATGCCTGCAGGGTGAGCAGGGAGGTGAGCCCGGCCCGGGGTCTCCGTGCTGAGCTCACTGTGTAGGCTGTGCAAGAAAAGGGGTGTCAGGAGCCCTCCTCAGGGAGACACCAAGACTGAGGACTCAGAGGAGCTGCCATGGATTCCTGCACCCCTTCAGCAGCACAAACACCCTGTCTGGGATGGTGCAGCACCCACAGCCAGGCAGGACATGGGAGGGAGGAGCAGCTGCCCCGAGTCCCAGCCAGGACTCATGCAGGGACATGGAGAAGTCTCTGGTCCTGCTCTTGGCCACATTTTGGGAGCTCCTCACTAATGAAGAACAGTGTGGACAGGAGGAAGCCTAAGGTCATTTGAGCCCCTGTCTCTGTGGCCATGTGACAGCAGAAGCTGAAGCCAAGCACAAGAAAAGGACAGATCTGGGCTCTGCACCAGCCCCCACGGATCAAGGCATTCCATGAACAGTTGCTGGTGAGGTTGGGTGCAAACAGAGCACAAAGCCTTCCTGGTGTTCCTGGAGCCAGACATGCAAGAGGGAGCAGTGTCTGTGAGAAATGGGCAGAGCCAGGAACAGCCTCTCCTTACTCTTCCCCAGGCTGGGCTGGAGACAGTAGCCACGGGGCCAGTAGTGCTCACTGCTGCTCTTAGGTCCCACCACACTGCAGGTGTCCATCCTGCCTTGGAGGGGCCTGGGGGCCGAGCTGACCCTCTCTGCAGTGTGTGCTGACTGTGCTGTCAGGGCTTTCGGGCACTGCTCCTCCCCAGGAGGGACCAGTCTGTGCCCAGCCCTGCGGAGGCAGCCCCGGCCCCACCATCCCAGCCCTGCCCACCCCGGCAGCACTCACCAGAGGGGTAGATGGTGTCCAGCGTCACCTTCCTGGCTCGGATGAACCTGCCCACCTGCTCCAGGTCCCCCTGCTTGATGTGGTCCTGGAAGACGACGTCGTTGGGGAAGTGCACGGTGCGTGAGGCCCTCAGGCCTGGGACATACCGGCCGTACCGGCTGTACCGGGACCGCGGCACGGGGCAATAGTCCCTCATGCCCAGAGCAGTCTTCAGGCACAGTGGCATGGGGTGCTCAGCACAGCCCCTCACTGCCCTGCTGACTCCTCTTCTGCCTGGATCTCCTCACTGTGGACCTGTGCTCGCACTGGCACTGCTGTACTCCCTCTGTGCCCCAGACACGGACTCCGTGTTCGTGTCCCCCGCAGCTCTGTCCCCCCTTGTCACTCTCCTATGCTCCTGAGCTGCACACAGGACGTGGCACTTGGCACTCTCAGCTCACCCACAGGCCCTGGGCCCAGGACTGGTGGTTATATAGGCTCCCCTGGGCTATTTTGGGGACATGCAGCTCATGCTATTTGCCATGATGCTTCGTAATCGAGCTGCCCGGGCCTGCAGCCTCCCACTTTTGGGCAGAAGTTGGTGTCTCAGCTTACCACCCACCTGTTGATGTGCCCATCCAAGGGGTCAAATCTACTCTTGCATGGATCTTCAGGGAAGCCTGGAAGCAAATTCCCAGCAGCAAGTCCTCGCCGGGGAAGAAGCACGGGGAACCATCCGCTCGTGTACCAACCAGCCGGCACAGTGCCAGAGCTGCTGTGCCAGTGCAGCCAGAGTTGTCAGTCTCCTGAAGCTGCACGGGACAACTTGGAAGGAGAAGGAGGAGCTGTGCTGCCCAGCAGGACTGAGAGTGCACAGCCCAGCATGGAGAACTCCACCAGCACATGGGGTGGTCCCTGTGCCCTTGCAAGGACAGAGATGTTGTTGCTGTTCCCGAGGCAGGCACAGAACCAGGAGCCTGCACTGCTGGTCCCTGGTGTTTCGTGTCCTACTTCAGACTGGGAAGCAGCTGCTGGTCAGGGCAGGCTGAGGGAGCAGCCTCAGAGGAAGAGCAGAAGAACAGCACCACCACCAGACAATTCTGCCTCCAATACTCTCCAGCTGCATTGTAAGGCCCAAACCAGACCATCTGCCACAGGGGAACCATTCAGGTCCATCAAGGGTTCAAATAACAACTTCTTTTTTCCATCAAGGTTTGCACATGTCAGACACATGAACATTTTGTCCTCTGTGTGATGCTGATGGGGATTGTCCAGGCAGGTATGCCAGGAATGCAGAAGTCAGGGATTTCACTCTGCCCCTGCTGCAGCAGACCCTGGCCCTGACCCCAGCAGCACAGTCAGCCACACAGCTGAGAACTGCCCTTGTTTGTCTGCACACACATCGATCTCTGGGCTGAGCTCAGGGTCACATCAACTAGGACACGGCCCTGGCACAGGACACCTCCAGCCTTTCTCTTGGAAGAGCAATGAGCCAGGAACAGAGGTGGCTGTAAGGTCCTGCTCTGCCATGGGAAGCCCTGGGCTGTGAGAAGAGCCTCCTCTGACCTGAGCACAGAGGGTCTCAGACCAGGAACAAAACCACTGTAGAGCTCAGCCTTAGTTATGCTTCAACTGCCTCCACAAAAATGGAGCCAAGTCCAGTGGCACTTCTGGAGCTCTCTTCCTTCCCACCCCAAACACAAGGCAGCTGTCACCAACCAGTCCCAACCCAGGCCACCAGCACTGCCAGTCCTGTTGGGATGCAGCAGTGGCAGCTACACCCCTGCCCACCTTCAGTTGTGTGGGGTCACAGCCCTGGAGGGAGGCAGGTGTGGGTCACACCCCCACCCCGGTGCTGTTCTGTCAGGGACCAGCACTGCTGAGCCCTCAGTGAGTGAGTGCCAGCTCAGCCCCAGCCCTGGGGACACCATGCCAGGACTGTGCTGGGGCTCAGCTCCTGCTGAGGCATGGGAGGAGGCTAGACCAGGGCACACAAAGTGCTGTCCAGTACCCTTGTGCCCCTGCTCTAGCACAGGCACCAGTAGCCCCCCCTAGATAACCCTCTAGCCTCACTGTGCCCTCCCCTGTGACATTTATAGCATATTTTCTAACCAAAATACCTGGAGCAGCAAGTGGC